GATGGTGGGAGCGAACTGAGAGAAGTTGCATACAAGGATAATAAAACAGACTTGGTATCGATCGGCTTCGTAACTACTTTCGTGAGAAGTACAAAATAAATAAATAAAAAACATTACAAAGGAGAATAGGGTGAGGATAGCCGTTTTCTAGTGCCATTGCGGCCGGTCATCATATCGAGGCGAGTGCACACCAGACGACACCGACGACGACGCGCTAGGCTAGTCACTTTCGTGCAGCTCCTGCGTATGCGTGTGTGCCAGTATCTTCTTCCCACTCTCGGCGAGGCTTGCGATGCTCGGCGGCCGGCTGTGACTCTGCACCATGAATTCTGTTATCTTCAAGACCTGCGATGGCCTCGTCTCCATGTGGTTCGGGCCGCCACCGACTTTGATCTCCCAGTTGTCTCGTTCATCCGTACCCGTACCCACCATGGACCGATGTGCGTTGCTCTTTCCCTTCATGGTGCCAAGTGGCATGCCCCCAGTGTGCACTGCGTTGCTATAGGAGTTGCCAGCGTTCCCACTCCTCGCGTTCCTGGTCAATTTGACCAGGCGGCTGAGGATGCTGAATTCAAGCTTGAGCTTAATGCTATAGACAAGCGGCTTCCACGAGGTTTGGATCTCGAAGAAGTCTGCAAACTCGAGGCCCAGGATACTGCAGTCGAGCATGATGACGAGGATGTTGACTGAGATAAGGTGGTAAAGCAGTGTTCGAGTGCTGACGTGTCCGATTGTGCGTTCAAGGCGGAGCAGCTTGGTCGTCTCGAAGAGATATAGACCCGAAATAATGAGTTCCTGGACGAAGAAGACGCTGAGTTGAATCCGTTCGTATATGTTGTAGATTTTTGCATAGGGCTGTGGGGTGTCCGAGTTGGCACCGTAAACCAGGATAATAATGGGGATGTGCAGCCAGATTGCGTTGGTGATAATCATGATGAGGACGTATCGTAGCCATTTGAGATTGTGCACCACAATGTGCAGTCGTGAATATAGTACTACCGACTGGCCTGTGATCATCATGCACCATCCTAGGAGGATGAAGGTGGCGAAAATGTTCTTCTCCTTGAGTGCAGCCAAGTGCATGAGGATATATCCGACGGCGTTGAACAGGATGCCATATGTGGCAACGGTAAAGGACCAGAAATATAGACCTCGTCGCCGCTTGAACGAAGTGAAGATGTAGGCATTAAGTTCGAGAAAATTGTAAAGGGCGATGCTGAGAAAAGCGGCCGCAACAACCTTCTCGATAGGGAACGATTTTGCCATGATAGGCAGTGCAATGAATCGTAAAAAAGGAAGAGGTGATCAGACGTCGGGTGGAGTGAATAAGAGAGTGGATCTGGGGAAGAGCGGCCCCATGTGCTTGAAGACCAAGCCGCCCGCCCGCCCTTCCCTTGTCTTGGCATACATCGAGTACCGTAGCCCAGTCATCCATAAAGAAAGAAGCATCTAAAACGGCCATGTTTTCTTCGTTGGCGAGCCGTAAATGCAGGGGTGGCTATGTATCAATCGAAGCAGCCGAGTGAACCCTTGTTCCATGCGGGGGTTTCCGGCTGACAGGGGATCGACTCGTGGCCTGATGTCGATCTGCCCGTCTCAGGTGGCTCGAGAACGGCGGAACTGGGTCAGCGCGTGGAATGATATCCTTGGCGATGCCTCGCCCTCGGTTGGGGGATTGCACCCATTCGTACATAGTTGTTTGGGAGATTAGGCAATTCTTGCCACCCCTGCCGCTCTTCTAGAAATCGGTCCTTTCGCTTGGCCATCAGACTCGACGCAAACAGACAGGTGCTACCTTTTGATGCAGTACTTGGCTGTGGCTGTCTTTGAACACTGAAAATGGTGCCTTATAGGCTGCTCCGCGGATTCATGCACACTCACACTCACACTCGGCTTGGCGAATCTGGAATGTTCATGTCATGTCCCGTTTGGAGGGGGGGATAGGTAGAATAAAGCAGTGTATCACGTCTGTCGTAGGAGTACCCGCCGAAGTGGGAGACATTTCCCGCCCCCGGCACAACGGCATACGAAGGCTAGATATGCGGTGCAGCCGAGTGCCCTACTACACCTAGTGGTTGGGCGTCAGCTCACCGGCAGATAACATTGGGAAAGACGAACTAGGCGGTATAGTCCTGGATGAATTATGCCCTAATCTGTCCCAGACGTACGTGTCATGCAATGGTCCCTTGCAGCGGAGATGGGCAGCCTGGTGGCCGAATGACCAGGAGCCATCTGTCAAGCCAGAAGGGGATGTGTGCATGGCGAAGGAGGCAGCAGAAGCCAGTTCCACTTGAACGTACCTTGGCATGCCAAGGACAGCCGACATGTAGGTATTCTACATGTAGAGCCTAAGCAGACGCTCACTCCTGAGATCGGTGATCTCGCGGGTTGATGGGTGGGAGCGAGACACGCGGTAGGCGGGCTCCGCGGGTGAAGGTCATGTTGCCAAACTCTAAACCGTGGCTCAAACGCAGAGTCGCGTCTCGCACCGTGTTTTGACTGGTTTCGTGGAGGTCAGCATGGCACAGCGTGCACGAGTCCGCGCGTTCATATGTGGTTAGAAGTTAATTCTCCATGGCTATTCCCAATCGGGCATGCGTCGGCCCTTTTGCTGCGCCGCCGTGCTTGGCAATGGCGAGCAAAAGCCAATCCATAACGCAGCCCCGAGCTCCGCATAACATGACTTGGTCCGCTGCCTCCCAAGCTTTGACTACAACTAGCGTCAAGGCTGTTAGTCGGTAGCGGCTCGTATAGGGCGAGGTCAAGCGTACTGTGACGATTTGGTCTATGCGCTGCACCATCATTGGTCTCTGCTGTTTTTTCCACTCAGGATCTGCAAGCTGCGGTATAATAGCATTACATTATATTTACGTATATTCTAGTAGTTTGTAACAGAATGCAGTTACGGCTGACAGTTTTAACAAAGTGCACTATTTTAATGACTCCCAAGGACACAATGTCTATTGTATGGGTGGTCCAGACGCGTACAAAGTGGCGTAGAAAAGCTTGGTCTGTCCAGTGATGATCATGCGTCCGTCTCCAGTAAACTTGAAGTTGGCTGCCGTCATTCCGGTGTAAATTTTGCCAATGAGTTTGGCCGCGCTGTTGAACACCCAGACGCCATCGCCACAACCAGCATACACACGGCCCACCGAGTCAGTGTGGACACCTGCACATCATGTCAGCAAATGCAATCGTCCTCTCTGGAGTTGATTGTATACATACCATCAGGGAACAAAGATGGAATAAAAGCGAACGTCTGGCGATTGCTCAAAGTGCCATCCATGGCAACATCGTACGAGTAGATGGATGCAGGCGCAGTCGTGTTGATGCCGAAAAAGGCGTTGCCAATTCCCGTGTCAGTGATGTATGCCTTCTTGCCATCAGGGGACATGGTAATGCCATTAGGGTGGCCAAAACCATCAGCCACAACGGTGACAGCGCCAGTGTCGAAGTTGTATCGGTACACTTGCTCTCTGATGCCGGGGTAAAACCGGAAATCCTGGAGGTAGCCGTACAGCGTGTCGGTAAAGTAGAGATCGCCGTTCACAGGGTGGATGACGAGATCATTAAGCGAGCTGAACTGGCGGCCAAAGTAGTTGTTGAGCAGGGCTATTGATTGTTAGTACAGATGCTCGCTAATATTTGTCGTCTTTGGATTTGCTTACTCGTCGTGTTGTAGGGTGGCGCAGGGTTCATGACATAAAGGGCTGACGGCGCCCAGTCTCCCTGACCCTCACCAGCAAAAATGATTTGCCCTTTGTAGTTGGTACCACCGTTGGGGTTGATGATCTGCGGGTTTGCCGTGTTGACCACGGTAATTGGTACCTCCTTCAGGGTCCCTTGACGCACTTTCTCGGCATCGGCAAGGGAGATTTTTTGGATAATGGAAGACTTGTTCAGTCCAGTACCCGCAGCACGAGCACCGGCATTTTGAACGAAGAAAACTTCGTCGGCATCAGGGTGCCAGGTGACGGCCTCGTGGAAGATGGGGTCAGACGGTGAAGTGGCGATGGTAGTCAGAGATGGGTTGTCGCCAATGACCTGGTAGAACTCGTCGTCATAGATGTGGAAGGGCTTGGCGAGAAGCGATTCTTCCGTCACGCCGGGCCATACGAACAGCTGCGCTCTGGTCAGAAGATGCAAAGTCTTGGTAGCTGCACAAGGTGAAGACGTACGGTTGTCGCATTCGCCTGGGAGGGCGCGGGAACGACTGGCAGGACATTAAAGTTCTTTTGGTTGATGATCTGCGCATACTCGGGCACTGTGCGAGCCAAAGTCGATCCAACTGCTGCGCTGAAAGCGACAAGAATCTTGGTAGAGCACATTGCGAGTTTGGGATGGCCGACCGTAGCTCTGCGCACTACTCTAGGTCGTGGCTCTTTGTATTCCGGCACAAGGGGATATGTATGGCATCTCCAGGACGGCACCGGTGCTCCAAGCTCCCTCTCCAAGCTGCCTGCCTCTTTGAAATTAGACCCAGCTAGTTGGTATGTGGTCGGTGAGAAGGCCCGGTGAGTGGAGGATGCACCGGATGAAAGTCCCACTTGGTCAGAGAAGGCCAGGCTGGCGCAATGACCCCTCACCCCCCCCCCCCCCATGGGGAATCAAAGCCTAGCTTCGTAACTGCACCCTACTCCAATGCCACAGCAGAGGCTCCAACGCTCCCAAACATGGCCATACGGCCGTGAAGCCATCAAGCCCGGCCGAACAGTAGTGCTCTTTTTTCGAAGCTTGCGTCTACAATTATGGATGTCTGACAGGCCTGGACGGGCCTGCATGGGCTGCGCAGCGATGCGAACGGCGGCGAGTACACGCGGGTCGTCATATTTACCCTGGCCGGCCAGTGTGTACCCAGCAGCAGTGTCTTTTAGGCCGGTCGTCTCTATCCACCGGGGTCTCTAGGCGACCTTCATTACCGAGGCCGTAAGACGTAGTGTACGCGAGCATGCCTGTGCTGGAATCAGGAGAGAGCGTCGCAACGCGCTGCCACTTGGGATGCGGAGCGCCCACAAAGGGCTAGTAGTGCGATACTTGCACGTACGGCGGCAGCGAAATGGACGAGCGAGGGCAGTTTTGTATGCGAAAGAAGGGCCAGAAGGCGGCGGCGGGCGGCGGGCGGGCGAGGACGGAGCGGCTTGCAGTTGCGGACACGGGTGCCGCCATCCTGAGAGCCGACGCTAGGCCGCGCTGGGCTTAGCGCGCAATCGATCGCTTGTGAGCTGTGAGCCTCCACGCCGGCGCTGCTCGCATCCATCGCGCCGTATCGCGTCGCATCTGCATCCATCCGCCCGACGCAGATCGCTGGTAGATCGATCAATGCGCCCCATGAGCTACGGCTGCATCTCTCCCCTCCTCCTCTCTCATTTGCCCACAGAGCAGGTCGGTCAGGGCACTTCCAAGATCCAACTCTGCCCTGCTGGCTGAACAGCTGCATTGCAAAATCGCCCATTCTCCAACTCGAGGTAAGCTTAGTAAAAGCAATTTTCCGAGCGTTCGAGATGGGCAGGGTGCATGCTCCATCTCATGGCTTACCAGGATTCCCCAAGCCGGGTAAGCTTCTTGTGCCTGAACGCCTTCGGGACGAGCATGTTGCCACGAGGCCAAGACGAACCATGACTAGGCCTATGGTTTCATGTCCGAGTCAAGAGAATGCTCCATTCCGATTGCCATGCCATGACAGATGGACATATGGCTTGTGGCTGCCTGTGGCTGCCTCCGGTGCTTCTTAGGATTGGATCATTTCAAAGCCACAGCATGCTTCAGTGGCTGCCGATAGTACCTTGCAGTACCGTGGTTTTGATGCCCTAGCTATGCAAGGCCCAGGGTCTATTATGACACAAGCTTTCCACATCCGATGCATAGTCTTCACTCCGATTTTTAGTTAGCTGAATGGGGTTTGTTTTTCTCATGACTATATCCTTCAGCAGCTACCTAGCAAAATGTACTTTCAAGCTGCCTCTTACAGTTTCACAGCCACGGCAAGAAGAAAGGATCGTTTTAGTGGCTGCAGACTTGATTCCAAATACTTGACGACAAACTGCGAGGGTGGAGATTGTGCGTTCAATCTAGTCTTCAGGACACGTGAAAACAGTGGACAACATCCTGTGTTGAGTAGAAACACTCCACTATGCAGACATTGCGACAAGAGTACCAAGAGAAAATGACAGGGTTGTTATCACTAGATCAATCACATGCATACAAACCCCTGACCAGAGTCTTCTGAGTCAGATTGCCGGACTGGACGTGTACATGCCACTAGAGCATCAAATAAAATGAGAAAGATTCATAATACCCAAGTAGTGATTTAAGCTCAGACTTAAGAAACTAGACATATAACATATCATTATATGCATGAATTGCACACGCGCATCTTCCCCCAAACCCCTGCGACTCATATGCCGTATATTCCAACACTTTGAATCAAGACGAAGTAATTTCCGCAATACCAAAAGGACGTATATCCACCCTATTAAATACAAGGCTTACTGTGGTGTAGTGTGGTGCACGTGACTGAGTTTTGGAGTATAAATACGAAAGACATGATAGATGGAAGAAAACCACCCACCTCCCACTCCAGCAGCCTTACGACAGCTACTATTCTTCTATCTGATATCTTGCCTTCCCACCGATTACGGATCAAAAGACTATCCACTGACTTGTTTTGTGCTGCAGTATTCGCTCGCTACCATGGTGCTTAGAAAAAAACTTGTAAAACAGAATAAAAGTATCCAAGAAGTTACTTCCTCACAGCACTGCTCTGAGCAATACTGCTATCAAACCACCCCCTCCTTATACATCTACTGACTATTTGTGAACCTGGCAGGTGATAGAAGCCCGTTCAATCCTATCCATGTGTTTTATCAAAACTGATAGCCAAATTCGATTAGCGAAAAAGCAACCCCCCCCCAGAAAACTCAGAAAAGCATACACCTACTTACTCTTCATCACAAATAATACCGAAGAAAAGATATACATGCCGCCACCATTATCAGGATCTGTATCATATCATAGTATAGTACTCTGGCGAACAATCACGCGCTCTTACTTGAACGTAGGTGTGTATAGCTGTTCTATGCTGTTATTAACACTTCTATTACCACCACGCTGCAATTACCCATCCCCACTTTTCCCTAACCCCCTAATCCCTCTTCTCCTTTTTCCCCTTCTCTCTTCTTCCCCTTCTCTCTTCTTCCCCTTCTCTCTTCTTCCCCTTCTCTCTTCTTCCCCTTCTCTCTTCTTCCCCTTCTCCCCCTCCAAAATCCCATTCCCAAATACCCTTTAACACGCAACTACTTAGATACTATCACACACTACCAACCACCCGTCATTTTCCCTACTAGCTAAAATGTCTCACATACATTCCAGCATTTAAACATCAACTTTCCAATAAATCCATCAGTACCAAGCTTGGTGAAAGGTAGATGGATACGTGTTACGCCAAGTATAACGTATATTCTAGAAGCTACATATGTATGTAGGGTAATATATATATATATATATATAACGTGGTTCACAAGTGAGTCGCTAACCCAAGCGAGTCGCTAACGCCCCACCAGCCCATCAACTTCATCACTATAACGCGTGATGTCTCAACAACGCAACTGTCTATTAATATATTCTAAATCTAATCTTCAACTTACTCTTTTTGACGTCTAGTCGCAACGTGTTTAGAGTGTAAACCGTGCTACTACTATCTACAACGTCCTACAAAGAACTCTATCTGATTAACGCGCTGGAAAGCGCCCTCAACGCAACTGCGAGCCGAAATTGAAGCGTCTAGATAAGCTAGAAGAGGAGGCTATAGTTGAGCGTATTCTTGAAGAGTCTGCGCGAGGATTTGCGCCTACAAAGCTTGACGTTCGAGTAATGGCTGATAAACTATTGGAGGAGCGTGGTGGCAACCCTGTTGGCAAGAACTGGGTTGACAACTTCGTTAAGCGGACTCCTAAGCTCCGTACGCGCTAGAGCCGTCCCTATGATCACCAGCGAGCCGCCTACGAGGATCCAGTGGCTATCCAGCGCTGGTTCGACTTAGTCCAGGCGACAAGGCAGAAGTGGGGTATTGTGGACGACGATATCTACAACTTTAACAAGACTGGCTTTATGATGGGCAAGATTTTATCACAGTTAGTTATCACAGCATCAGAAGGATATAAGAAAAAGAAGCGGATACAGCCAGGCAACCATGAGTGGGTTACTGTGATCCAAGGCGTGGGCGCGTCAGGTCGCCAAATACCACCCTTCGTTGTCTTTGCGGGCAAGGTGCTTATCAACGTCTAGTTTAAGGATTTGCCTGCCAACTAGGTTCTTGAAGTCAGTCCCAATAGCTAGACAAATAATTAGCTTAGTCTTGCCTAGTTAGAGCACTTTGATACCTATACAAAGAGCTCTACTGTGGGTGGGTATTAACTGCTCATTATCAATGGCCATGAGAGCCACTGCTCTGTCGATTTCCAAGATCTTTGCAAGGAGAAGAATATTGTGCTTCTCTACATGCCTGCGCACTCGTCTCACCTGTTGCAGCCTCTTGACGTCGCCTGCTTCTCGCCGTTGAAGCGCAAGTATGGCGACGCTATTTCAGGCTTGG